ACTTTCATTTGGGGAGCGCCTCGCGGTATTTGTTGATACCAGAACCAACATTTATTTTATTAGTAGGAACGTTCGAAAATATATTCCCGAATATCGCAGCTCATGTTTTGACTTGACACTAATGCCTCTCTACTTCGTATGAGAAAAACATTTGTTTTGCGTCAAATGTATTAGTTGAGGTTACGGAAATGACACGTTTTATGAATTAAATATTTTCCCAATAATTACGATTTCGCTCTGAGGAAATATCAGTTTTTGGAGCATGTCGGCCTGAGAACGGTCTCAGTATAACGGCCGAAGCATTGGCAACTGCAACGAGGACGCTGCGCATCCTGTACACTGTATTAGGATGGATGAGAGAAGATCATTGCTATTATCAACAGCACTCTTAAGGACCCGGAAGTTCGGTATGCAACAGAGAAAGGCTAACGCTCTGGTGTGGTCCATTACAAAACTGAGACCATAGGTGTCAAACTCAAATTTCCAAACAAACAACTCAGATCGGAGGTGGGTCAATAGAAAAGTTTCCGGCATTGCTGTCTCCTGGCGTGATAATTTGTTGACAAACCGCTAAGGTACTTCATTATTATATACTTCGCTTGTCAGAACACGCACGACTCTGTCCTTCTACTTGAGATATAAATAAGTACTATCCCTGGTGGTGCACAAACGAAGAGTTCTATGCACAATCCTGGAATTTACACCTCATTTTTGAAATGCAGTTATCTACGTTCGTACCATGCCTTCTGTAACGGGCAATTCGGTTTGATTTGATTTAGTCGGTCACCATTATTCTTTTTTCGCGTTTAAGTTGTTAGTAAAACCTCTCATCTCAACCACGCTCGTTTGAGGCGGTCGCGAGGTGTGTGCTCTTTACCTCTCTCGCTGCCTCCGGCACTGCCGCGGTCCTCTTCGCTCGCGTGCGTGTCCGCTGCCGGTGTCTGTGCGTCGCTGCTGCCGCTGTCGGCTTGGGGCGCGGGCCCGGAAGCCTCCGCGGAAGGCGGCGGCGCGAGCGCGGGCGGGGGTGGGGGCGTGGCGGCGGTCGCGGGACGCGCGACGGCCGGCGACGGCGGTGATGGCGGCGGCGGCGCCGGGAGCCGCAGCGGCATCGAGATGTCCACCTCCCAGCGCGCGGCCGACACCCCTGCGCTCGCCGCCGCCGCCGCCGCCGCCGATTGCGCGTCTTGCTGCACGACACGCGAGAACCGTTTAGATGAACACACACAGCAAAAGTGTCTGCAAACTGTATTTCTCTTTTCGACACGAGCCAGATAGCTAGTTCGAGTTTTGTCGCTGTCCGGAGAATAAATCTAGCGGCCTGCTGCTCTGATCGGTAGTTTTCCGTGGTTTCTCCGATCAGTACCAAGTGAATGCCGGAGCAGTACACTAACAAACGGGCCATGGACTGCGCGCGTTCTATCTGTCCTATTCCTTACCCTACCTACCTCTTACACGCTTACATATTCATGCACTACACCACCACACTTGCAGGAGACCGGTTGGGAGCTTAGAATTAGTTCCGGCCAGGGCGGTACCCCGCTGGCGGAAGATACCTCGTTTGGGAAAATACCGCTAGCCGGCGGTAGGTCGGCGCCGAACCTCCCCATCCAACGGGGCAAGATCCGCCACCACCCGTGCATAAAAACTTGAACTACAGTTAGGAGACTAATAACCTTAGCAGTTGACGCGTCCGGAATCTCCATGTCGAGGAATGGCACAGGGGCAACATTCGTTGAGAGCGAAGGCTTCCGCGGCCGGAGTGAATAACTACTTTGGCTGCTCGCGTCCTGGCGCAGGTGCAAACGTTTCAGCCGATATTGTGCGACCTTCGTCAGGCCGAAAGCAAAGCTTCCTGAAGCTTTCGTTCTGAGGAAGGTTGCTGAATGGTGGCCGTAATGTTGGCACCTGTGCCTAGGACGCGACGTCTCCCGGACAGCCAAGTAGCTAGTGACCTTCGTTGACTCCGCTGTATCGTTGAACTGGAGATTCTAGGAGCCAGTTATCGAAACTATACCTCTACCAGAAGCAAAGAAATATCACACTGCGCATGCCCGAACGTGGTCTCCTCCAAAGCAACTAATTTTTTCCGCCTGCAAGAGCTGTTTGTCACAACATAGCTCTGTTTTTCTCTCGCGGGCCGCGCGTTAATTCAATGCGAGTTAGACGATAGCAAAATGATGGCTCAGAAGGATCAGACCAAACACAGCTTACGTGTTTCTACAGTGAGGTTTGTTCAAACGTTCTGCAGGAAAAAAAAACGCATCTTAAAGGATGTTAATTTTCGGTCTCCAGTTTTACCGTGGCTAAGAAGCAGTGACAGTGTTTTATACAGTTTCTGCTCTTATTGTCAAAGTTTGTTTGTGGTTGTGATTTTTATAATAGCATCTTCAGCACCGGCTACTGTGTCGTGTAGGCTCCTGAGAGGACAAGCCTAAAGAGTTTCTGATCAGATTGTCCCGTGCTTCCGTTGTAGTAATGGACAACGTAAAGTACCATTGTGCAGATATTGACCGAAAACCAAACTGTATTTTTTAAGATGTAGCAAAGTGGCGAAATAATAATGAAGTATCCGTCATTCACGAAAGCCCAATTGTTACAAATAATTCAAAGAACTGAAAAACGTCGCGACGTTGATCAAATAATCATTGAACATGGACACTTTCCTCTCCGTCATCCACCGTACCATCGAGATGTAAATCCAATAGAACTTGTTTAGAGATATATAAAAGGACAGTGGAAACAATCGGTGCATGAACAGTTTTGCAGGGAAGCGTTTACACATTACAGCGCTGAACAATTAAAGAAATGCGTAAGCTGAGAATTCCAATGACCAGCTGCTTTGATCAGAATTTTTCCGCTGTGACTCCAGTCAATACCAGGCGAATGACGGACATGTACCAACGAAAGAGCTATAGGACACGCGATCTTTCCTTTATCTTCCTTGACCCCTCCTTTCCCTTTACATACACATTTGCACTTACAAGCACCACAGTGATTCGCACAACGGGAGCCTAGAGCTTGTCCCGGCTGAGAAGGTGCTTGGCGAAGATACCTCGAGTTTGGGAATCATGGGAAGCTGACGTGTAGGTGGAAGCCGGTTTTCATGATTTAGCGGGAGAGGGGCACCCGCTAAACCCCGTGATATTAGTGAGCACTGCACTTACGGGGGTTAATCATCATATTAGACGCACCGGGAAACACTAAACACTCACTCGTCAAATACAGTGGAATCTGAACATCTAGTATCTGAAAGTTAAATGAAAATTATGGACATCCTCAATATTTTGTACATACTGAAGTTTGAGTTACTTAATAAAATAAGGAAGATGAGAAGGAAGAAATATAACTCGAGATATGCGTTTGACTGATGGAAATCTCTTTGTAGAATATGGTAGAACCTTCGTAATTTGAATCCATTGGTATCCCGAATGATCTTCGTTATCTTCCATCTCCTCCGTGAATATTTTGAATACGGGAACTGAATGTTATGCTGAGATATTCGCTATGTTACGATATGAGAAAAATATTCACTACTTCGGGTGTTGTTTTCTTTTCTTCTTCAGATTCTAGACACACTCTTCTATTTAAGTGCACCTAAGATGCGTTACTCTACTGCACTAAACAGAATTATTAGTTCCAGAGTTTCTGAAGTTTCATATCAAGTTGCTTTGCCGAGTTTTTTGTGAACCTAGACTGCTTATTCGTTCTGATTACACCCCTTCAAACAAATACTATTAAGCGCTGTATCGTATCACCTGTGCCGCTTCTCAACACTCTAAAATACGATTTAATTTAAAATACTCGCGTATGTTTGTTATGAAACAAAATGGCCATTAATTTGTCAAAAACAGTAATCTGTTGCGAGTTTTTCGATTAATGAGGTTTGTACAAAGTGTCTTGTGTTGATGACACTTGACGCCACCGCATCTCATATTTACGTTAAAATTTTGCTTGAAATGATGCTGTTATTTTTTTTAAATTAGATACTTTACAGTAGTAAGGTGCAATATAGCATAGTCAATGAGATACTATTGTTGTAACGGTTTGTGATGTTACCACTATGTGTATTCACAAAAATGAACGTTTATTTGGTGATTTGCTCAATAAATCTTCGGAAAGCGATTCTGATTTTTTAGTTTTCTACAATTGCACCTGAGTACTTCAAAGTATCTAGTTGTTGTTACGGGACCCAAACATGTTCGAGATACGTAACACCTTCGCCAGCATGCGTAACACCTACACCAGCTCGTCTTGTGTTACCACCTCGGCGCCCGTCTGATTGCCTACCGGTTCGTCGCCCCCTTCCGTTTTGTCTGTGCGGGAGAACGCCGCTACTTGTGCTAGGTCATCCACGATTCCACATCATCAAGAAGAATCAGGAGCCACCATTTCGTTTGACGGCCGTGGGGTTGTGGCCACAGGCACTTGCGTTTGACGATGCGGGTGGGTGAATCTATCACGTATCCCGATCATGTATGTGCCCCTTTAAGGTTCCCATCCACGATCAACCCAGGCTTGCGGGAAAAAGAACTCAAGCCGGTTGTCCGTCGCCGTCGCAATGTTTCTACAGTGGAACTGTCTATTGCAAGTGTGCGAATTGGTAGTTTTCTCCAAAGGGTCTCGCTGAAAACTCCTGGAGAGGGGAACGAAGAATTGATGCGTGAAATGTCACATTTTACTAGCGGCAGTCCGAATGTATCATGAGCTCTCGAGAATGTTCTCTTGAACGATTTCCTTCGTTTAGTTTGAATACTTCAAATACAAAAATCATAAATATAAATAAAATGAATTCCTGAAAAGGAAAAACAACGTTGCACCCTCCACCAGAGGGCATCAAGGGGCTGACCCCTCTTTCCCTTGTGTTTCTAAGCGACGCGAGTCTGCTTCGGAGAGGTGCGAGCCATGATCCGGTTGTTCGTGGATGGGCCCCTTAAGGGTCGTAACGGTGAAGTATGAAGTATGTTTCCCTGGTTACCGCGATGGGGGAAGCGGGTGCCCATTCACTCGCGCTCGGGGCTCCTTGCCTGGCGCTCGTGGTGTCGCCTGCGGCGCAGCGCCACAGTGCGCGCCGAGCCCGGCGTCACGTGGCGCTTGTTGCCGCCTGCCCCGCCCCGCGGCCGCGCGGCGGCGCCCCCGCCGCCCTCGTGCCTTCGGCGCTCGCCGCCGCGAGGCGTCGCTGAGCGTCCCGCCCGCCGCGCCCCCGCCCCCGCCGCGGTGGGCGAGCCGGCCGGCGGGCGCTCGCGGTCCCCGCCGTGCGCCCCGCCCCCGCACGGGCTCTGGCCCTGCAGCTGCGCCTGCTTGCGCTGGATCAGCACGCACAGGTTCTCCATGGCCTGCTGCTTGCCCTGCGCGCCCCGCAGCGAACACGCCGGTTACAACGCGCCCTCGCTCCACGTCTACGGGGGTGTGGGTAAGGAAAGTCTCTCCTCTGTGGTGCCGGGCTGATGAGTGTGCGAGCGACATAAATTACGTTCGAAGCGCGAGCTGCAGCTTGCGAAAAGTACATTGCGCAATCACCTCAATCATTACAGATGCTGGAAGTGATGTTCCCTTCACTTGTTTTCCAGTGATCTGGTTGTTACCAACAGAAATGCAATTTTTAATACGAGGCCCAGAGCGAAGAGACTTTCCTGGCGCACTATAGATGACGTGGTGTTGATGGGTGGTCGGTCGTGAAGTTGGCTGAGCAGTTCGGTTAATGGAATCGTCATATCTTTGGTAGTAAAGAAACATTTTTTTATTAAAACGTGGGTTTGATTGCCTTTAATATTTGCCAATAGTTTACTAATCGAAACAACTATTTAATTTTAAGTATGGACTTTTTTTCATGTGTTCGGAGAAAGCTATGTTGCGCCCCAATACTCAGGAACAAGTAATGGGCATTGGAAGGTGTACTGAAGTGTCTAGATAAGAACATGTTCAAGTATTGTTCCAGAATGAGTCGCCTTCTTTCCTTCAAAACGGACTTCGGCGACTTTTGTCAATCATCTTCGATTAATTATCCGTGTTGAAGACAAGCCTTCTGCAATTAGCGATATATTTTGTGAAATGGGTGGCAAAATGAAGGCTGCAATTGTTTAAGCATGCTATCGGCATTGCCGTGTTGTTTCGAATTTCACGAAATATACACAAAGTAATTAATTAACAGAGGTACATGACGCCATGCCTCACACATTCCCAAAGAGGATCTAATTCAAAGCCAGCTTCATGCCTTGCAAACCTACGGAAAATTGTGAGTGGTAGTGTTCTCGAATTTTTCTCCCTTAAAATTGAAGGAATCGGTGGAACATAGTGTTAACCGACATGTCATTTTGGTCATCCAAAGAAAAAACAAAGTTTTAGTACAATGAGACGTGCCTTATTTTCTCTATACACTTCTATCAATTTTCTACACACATACTGTACTTCTATGAACACATTTGTGTAGCATTTCGATCATGTTTGTGTTTAGAAAACATTTGGTTTGGGTTTATGAAATGAGGGTTAGCACTCTGTTCTCCCGATCCCTTACGTCGGCCTGCGCTAGATGTGTTTGTGCGCGCGTGCGTTGGCGCGCGACGCACCTTGACGTCGTTGAGCAGGGCGTTGAGCGCGTCCGCCTTGTGCGTGTGGCGCACGTTCTCCCAGCGCGCGTACATGGCCTTGTCGTACACCGCCACGATGCTCTCCATCTCGCGCACTTCTGCGGACCCACGCACCCGCAGCCCGTCAACGACCCGCCACAGGGAACGGCAAAACGGGAAGAGGAATCGCGCTATGAAATTGAAGCGATTATGCGGAGAACTATAGGCAACAGTTGCCGAATACGCTCTTAGCTGTGATTCTGGGGGCGCTCTTTGGGTTATCTGTTTACCTTTATGTAGCGATACTTCGCGTTTATGGTGTTTGTTTCAGTGGGCTTACGTGGTGTCATTTCCATTTGTGTTACCTTATCAAATTATTTGTAATTTTATTGTTCTTAAGTTTTTCTCGCCTATTTGTCATCTTTGGAGTTTGAGATTTTTAGTAGCTTTTTGCATTATTCTACTTCTAGTCTATACCAGTACATCTGTATCTTCGCCCGCTCTAACTGCATTATCGCACTACGCTCTTATCTTCTCCTACGCTCTTAGCTTTGTCGTGATTAGCACAGATTACTTGTACTGGGAACGGAGAGTGTCTTAAGAAATGGGTTCTGAGTGCAACTGCAGAATCTTTAAATTAGGGGGAGGGCATTTTTCTTCGTATTTCCTTTTAAGGAACTTAATTGTCTTACAAACTATTCGACGATGGATAATCGTTTTCTGAGATTTGGATAATTACTAAAAGCACGAAACGCTAATCAGTTGACACTGTTTCTTGTAAAAATACTACTTACCGTAAATTACAGCAGTCGCAGAAAAAAAATCCTCTTCGAGAATAGTGGCCTGTGTTGTGTAGATTGTGCTGAGACTATGTGTGTGTAGCATGTTTTTCGCCGAGCAGTGACTCTGACCAGGAGGTCCTAGGTTTTGGGTCCCGACGGTAGCAGGATTTTCGACACTAGCTTGTGAGTTATGTCGCATTCGGTCTCTGTCTAGAGGGGAATTCTAGTGGCCGGCTGCTCTGATCCGTAGTTTTTTGTGATTTTGCCGATCAACACCAGGCGAATGCCGTAGCAGTACCCCAACAAACGGGTCACTGACCACGCGCGATCTTTCCTTCCTCTGTTTTGTCCCATTCTCACACACACTTACTCTCACATGCATTACACTATCACACTTGTTGGAAGACCAGTTGGGAGCTTAGAGCTTGTCCCACCTGGGGCAGTTCCACGCTGGTGGGCGATACCTGGTTGGGGTTGATGTTTGATTTAGACCACCAATAGAACCAATAATAATAGATAATATTATTACAAATCGTCAGATAATACAAATGGGATACAATGATAAATGGAGCTAAGTTTTGTCATGATATTAGGATAAAACACTTTAGTCATGCCCGCCAGGCGACGTATGTCGTCGCCGAATCTCCCCAGCCAGTGTAGGAAGATCATCACGTCCCGCGATTAAGTCATGCTTACGAAACTAATGACTTGAGCGGTTGAAGCGCCCGGATTCACTTATCAGTCACAGAAGGCGGCATGGGCGTTCGCCTTCCCCGGCGGCACGCACCTTCCTCGCGCAGCTTGCGGAGGTGCTTGCGCACCTGGCCCTTCTCCTTGCGCACGGCGGCCCGCTGCGCGCGCAGGCGCTGCACCGTGGCCACGGCGTCGCGCACCGCCGCCAGCAGCGCGCGCAGCTCGCCCAGGTCGCGCTCCAGGCGGCGCTGTAGCGTGGCCGGGTGGTCGTACGTGGCGCGCGCCAGGTCGTGCACGCGCTGCACGAACCTGCAGACAGGGCCGAGATGCGAAGAGCTCGGGATACGAACGCGAATGACGTGGGTCACGATGAAAAGTGGGGACACCGCCGCGAGTGAATTGAATCGCGAAGAAAAGTTGGGACAAGGATTGAATGATCTGAATCGCGATGAAAACTCGAGTCACGGAGGGGAATGACTTGAATCGCAGTGTAAACCCAGGACACGGACAGGAGTTACACTCTTGAAAATCTTTTTCTTATCACAGTTCTTTACTCATTTTAGTCTGTTCCAGATATATTTATCCTACAAAGTTTATTTTTCCTATCATAGATAATAACTACTAACCTTAGTGTTCTTTCTTAATAATTGTTTTGGAAATAACATAACATTGAGTCTTCGTGACCAATTTTATAGTTATAATTCTTCTCTCTTTCGCTTGCAACACAATGTGTTTTTGGCTACTTTCATCAATTTTCCTGCTGTAACTATTTCAATGCACCAAATTGTCTTGTCTTCTCACGTCTTCTTCCCGATAAGAGAATCGCTAGTGGTGGTGTCTTGTGCTCATCTAGTTGAATCCATCCTGGCGACGCGACGTCCCCAACTTCCATTCCACGTTTGATATGTGGTCGTTATTCGTTTGCCTTCGCCCCAGGTGAGAAGAGCCAAGGTCCCAATGTCGGAAATCCCTTGGGACAGGACAATTACATGACTCACATCATCTACGTTTATCAGCACCCGCAATTTCTGATTTAGCTGATAGGCAGGAAAAATAAAGAACCGTTTGTTGCTAAGTTAAGGACGGATTTCGCTTTTTTCACATCAAGTTTCAGTAACAGGTGAAACAAATTTACCTCTCACCCCACCCCAAAGACAGAAAATTTTGTAGACTGTTTTGGCATGGAATAGGAGACACACGGTTTTATCGGAAACAGTGTCAGTTTCCTTCGAAGTGAATACGTTAGCAAAGAAGCAAAACTGACCTTACGAAGTCCGAGAGCCGCTCGCTGAAGAGCTGCAGGTTGCCGGGCTTGACGCGGTGCTGGTGGAGCTCGTCGAGCGTGAGGAAGTCGGGCAGCGGCGAGTCGCCGCTGTCCTCGCCGCTGGGCAGGCTGTCGTCGTCGCCGCCGAGCACGCTGCTGCTGCTGGCCGCTTCGGCCTCGGCCGCCCCCGGGCCGCCTCCGCCCCCTCCGCCGCCTCCGTCCGCGCCCGCGCCCACGCCCATGCCTGGCGAGGGCCAATTTTAGCGAAACATCAATACACCGCCAAAAGGTTTTAGATGACGATGAAAACATCGACAAAAAACATAATGTGTTTAAATATGATGAAACATTTCGAAGTAAAATGCCATGGATCCAATTTGTACATAACACGTCAATATTATTTAAAAGTATATTCTGCCGTTAATTTAACCTCATTTCAATTTTATAATCAGTGTACTATGTAATCAAGGTTCAAATTGCAGATATTACCACGTATCCATATACAAGTAAGGTAACCAACAATGGCGAAAGCTTGCCAAAGGTAAACTGTTTTGTGCAGTCCTAGGGATCGACAACAGTGACAGTTGTCAATGGCTGTTGATTGCGAGCAATCCACAAATAAAATAGATACTGGACATTTTATTTATATCCTAAGAATTTTCTTTTTGAAACATCGGTGTTTCTAAACAGATAAATCGATTTGGAGAAAACATTGAAAGCAAAACCTCGATCTTGTTATATTGATGTTTCCGCTCGACAATATCGATGTTTTAAAAACATGGATGTTTTTCTATGGCATCCCTACCCATACCCGCGCTGGCGCCGGCGCCGGCGCCCGAGCTGGTGGTGGCCGCTGACTCCGACTCGGCGTCCGTCGCCGCTCCCGCCGCGTCCGTCGTCACGTGCATCTTGTCACCCTTACGCGAGCTCTTGCGGATCCGGCGGAAGATGGAGCTGAAGAGGCGCTCTACGGAGTGCTGGCCCTGCGGGCAGTGCCTGCGCCAGCAGGCGGAGCGCCAGTTAAAATGTCGTCCTTGTCAATGAGCTCGTGCTGCAGCGTCGGAGAAAACTGGCTTAATAACGAACTACTGTCAGCATCCACGAATGCAAGATGTACACTGTGGGAAAAGAGTTAAAGGAATTAATGTGTTGAACCTGCCGTAAATCCCAAATTACACTAGTCATGCGGTGTCTGCTAGAAACCAGAAGCAGTGGTTTGTGTTTTCGCAATTCTTATAATACAACGTGTTTAATAATAAGTTTTACAAACTTAAAGGAGATGAAGTCGAAAATTATCACTGTTTGCCAATAAACATGTGGTGAGCAATTTCATACAACGGGGGTTATGAGGATTGTCTAAAATTCAGGGGCAAATGCCACACGTATAAAAGCATGTAATTTCTTTACATAGGCGATTTCTCAAGTAGGATGAAGTGATCGTTTCCGGCTTCACTAAATGCTCTACAAATTTATAACATTTATTCCGAGACACGCTGTTTCGACTTAACGCAACCACACCCGAAGGAAAGGCCAGCGTCCGTTAAGAATTTAATTGTCCAACCATTAAGAGCAATCGAAACAAATGAATTGTAGCCAAATATGGTGACTCAAGTGCAATCTTTCCCAAGAAAGGCTATTTCTGATTTATATTCTTATAAGAAGGTCGTATTTCGAAAAGTAGTCGTATTCAACGACATATGACCGATATCGCTAATAACCGATTTAGTTGAATCGCTCATTTATATACGCTACATCGACTCAATGACGTTAATAACTAATACCAAGTCTCATCTCGTAATTGCTATCCATCCGCGAGATAGGCTGCGAGAAAGGAGTTAGGGTTACGATTCGGGTGATATTTTTTAATTGTGGCGTATCTTGCCTGTAAGACAAGGTTGAAAATAAAGGAGTCAAAGCAGTTAAAATTTCCAGCCAAGGACCACTTCCCAATGAATGCATGTCATGCCCAATAGATAAAATCAGAGCTGTTGAATTCTTGTCATTGACGTGTAAACAACTACTTGTAATGGAACTGCGGATTCTTTCTTGCATTATTTGTGACTTCCGCAATTTTCAAAAATGCGGAGTGATCAACGGAAATCAGACATGCGCCATTTTTAAATGCGTACTTTGATCTGAGATTAAAAAAAATGAATAAAAAATCGGAATCACTTTGATAAAATGTTGATAATAGCATTGAAGCTTTGGAAAGTATACCTCTCCCCCCCTTAAAAAAAAAGACCCTCAATGTATCTGTTTCAAATTCAAGGGGCCGCGACATCAGGTAGAATAGCATAGCTGCCTGTGATTTAGTCGCTTGCGTTTGTCAGTCTGACAAATATTTTACCGTAAACCAATTTTCTGATACCAAGAACCCACAAAACGTGGATTCTGAGTTTGCTACATACAGGAACACGAACTATCCGTATCAGCAAGTAACCGACTGTTTTCCTGGCGAAAAATTGACGTTGATTTTTGCTGCAACATTAGAATAATTTCTCTACATTTCGTAAATAGTAAGCAAAAAAGTAAAAAAAGTGCCAGCGCGGAATGATTGAAAGTTATTTTGCTCGAATGTAAATGGTAAATCTGCGTATCTTTGGATTTTTATGTATTTAATTCGACTGGGGTCCTATTTTTGAGATTCTTTAGTATGCTGTATATTTGAAGTAATTTCTTCCAATCATAAGTTGTTAGTTAAAAGTCTGGTAAAAGTTTAAAGTTTATAACAGTACATTTTAATCTCGTCAATCCCCAGAACACTTTGTGCGAATGTCCAAGGCCTAAAAATTAAAAGTACGCCGTAATCACACTGCATATGCGTGTATTTGTCTGTGCACGTAAAATAAGGTGATTTCCCTTTTAAAATTCGTGTTCATTGGTTTTTGCAAGAGCTCAGTTTTTGTGTACATAATTTAATATCATATGAGATTTGGATGAAAGTAAAAAATATACCCCCCCCCCCAATAAAAAAAGAGCTGTGTACTTTGTATCTGGCTAACTGTGCATGGGCAAAGTTCTATTTACACAATTAGTCAAATACACTTAAGAATGCTTAAAATTTTGTAAAAACAAATGAATATTAGTTCATATGCAATATAATATAATAATTATAATCTTAATAATAGTCACTCAGAGTAGTATTTAATGTTTAGACTCTTATATTTCAGATAATTGTAGGAATTTTGTGCTGTAACTTTACTGGATTTTTCATATGGAGTGATAATTCTAATAATCACTGTTTTATTTGTTGCCGTTTTCCCGCAAAATGTAGTACACGTTGATATATTTTCGGTACTAAAAGAAATATAAATATATATATATATTATAATATAATATATATATATATAATATATTGTGTCATGTGGCAAAATACATTTCAGAAAGGGCACACATTTTCATGCATCCATTGGCAGTATAAAACCATTGTTTTTCATGTTGTGCTGAAAAATTAATTTTTTAATTGGCACACAGGATACATATCGGAATAAAAATGTCTTTTTTAAACTTGTTAACATTCCTGCACTTTACCAAATGAATATAATTAGAAACCTAAACCATTAATATCTGCTGCACACACGTTGCATGCAATAGAAAATCACATGTACATGCATGCCGCAACTCTTGAAGTTCTAATTTCACCTACTGCACTTCGCATTGCGCTCCTAAGCCAATGAACTTGCTGCTTGCTGTACGTCCCCACTCCCGTCAGTTCTTCCAACCCGCGTCTCGCAGATTGACGTTACAGTTACGCGAATCGTGCGACCGTCGCGCGTTCGCGGCGCGCTCGCGTCGAGACAGCGGTCGGGCGCAAGCCCAGCGGCAGACGGCGCCAGCGTCCGGGGAACCGTTGCTCACCTGCTGGTCATGCCGCGTCGGTGTCAGTGCGACAGGAGCGCGCGGCGGGCAGACCGAGGCTCGGGAGTGGCAGCCATGATGAAGGGTCTTGGCACGCTCGTCGCCTGACAGCGACGGCGACAATGGCCTCCGCCTCCTCCGCTCACTCGGGAGCCAGAGCCCCCTGAAGCAGTGCGCGCTTGAGCTGACGGTTCCGGGAGAGTCGGGCAAGGTGGTTGTGAGACGTGGCGTCTGCGAATGTTGCAGCATTTAAGCTTTCCTGGACCACCGGGTGGCGGAGCTAGGAGGGCGGGGAAGCCCTCTTATTACTCGCATCGCGTTCCAAATGAGTATTTCCGTAATGGGGATATGGATACATTATATGGATCCCAATTCAAGCACGCATATCAAGCTGACAATTTAAAAATATCATTTCAACATTTTTTATTTGGTGTCTTACTGAATTATTTTCTGTAATAATTCCTGAGTCTTGCTGTCCCCTTCCGAGCGATCCGAGCATTACTAATAAACTGGACACATTTTGAAATTACGTCCCGTAGTTTAAATGCAAAGATACAACAACAGCACATACAACCTTCTCGTATTATTTGTATCGGTAATATAATATAACACTCATCAAAAAATGCTGGAACACAGAAATACCCCACCCGATTCAGTGCGTGTGGATAAGTTGCAAACCATCATCTAAGCCAATGATTTTATTTCCACGCTCGGCCACGCATCCGGATGCCGGAAGTGAGGGCGCGTTGTCGGGACCAGTGGCAGAGGCCCCCAAAATGGCTCTGACGATTATTGCGACGTCGGAGACTCCTTGAGAATCGCTTGCGTATTCGCTTTACCTACGCGTCACGTTCGTCTGCTGGTTGGCCTGTTCAACGCGTTCAAGACGAGCCGCATCGTGGGACTGCGAGAGGCTGGATGGACCTGTTGGTTTATAACGTGCGAGCATCACTATCGCCGAATGTTTCCGGCAATATTTTTAAATTCTGTTGCGCCTTTTACGCAAGAACGCCTCCTAGTCATCTTTTAGGCATTGAGCATAAATACTCGTACATACTACTTGAGTAATCTACCGTTAAATTTGTCTTTTCTCGTTAAGTCACAGTCAGTCATTGCCTTTTATCCCTTCAGTGAGGGTCTCGGTGCCGTTAGTAATGCTGGCTCCTATTCTAAATGGTCTCTGAGCCAAGAATCCGTGCTGTCTTGACTTGTTTAACTTTCGTGACTCACCAAGGTAGTTAAGGAATTCGCCTAACAATGCCGGCAATACTAACTTAGAAATTATGTTATTAATTGGTTTCCTGAATACCCAGTATATAAAAGATACAGTTAAAATAATACAAACTACATCGAATACGTTTATGGTTTTTCATACAGGATGATTCGGCACAAGCGGTTCTTGATCTAATTTCATTTAGTTTGCGTCGAGATAAAAAATGTCAAATTATTAGTTGGTTCACTGTAATCTCATCTCATGGTGTTATTCTTATATTGTACATAAGAATTATATATTATATTCTTTCATATATATTCAACATTGGTTAATGTTCCTTCGGTACATGGGATAGTGAACCATTTTGCTGTGAAACCTTGTAGATCATGTTTTTGGTGGGATCAACAGATTATTCTTTGTGGGAGTGACGGTGTACAAATGGTAATTTCACCTTCGGTAGTAGGAACTGATAGTTCATGATAGACACCTGGGTTTTGGTGAATTTTAGATTTTTCTGTAATTGGTATGGATCATTATGTATGATTTCTTTAGCAGGTGGTTCACAATTTTGTTAAAATATCTTCTGTCGAAACTAGTTGCACATTGGTAATGCATTGAAATGAGTGACTTATAAAATTTTCAGGTATCTGCACGTTGGGGAATCGTCTTAAACACACCTCTATGTATAGTTAGTGCTCGATCATATTCCTGCTTTGATAACATTTGTTGAATTAGTTCATATTCATGCTTATGTGATTTTATTTCATTATAGAACATATGAAATTGAATTATTAAAAATGAGAAGTTTATTTATATGTTAAATTTCCTAATTGTTTTTAACGCTTCTATCGAACTTGTAATCGTCTTGGTGTAGGCTACCTGATACGTATGAATTTAATGATTTTTCCAGGTCCATTTATTAGGCGTCTCTGTTTTCTTTCTGTTTTGGAAATTAATTTTGAAACTTCATTTTCAATATATTTAATTTTATTTCGAACTAGTGGACCCGACAATGCTTTGCTATTGCAATGTCTTACATTTCACACGCTACTCTGTGCAACAATTTTAATAGATGAAAGCCTTTCTCGCAAGTAAGGATTTGTTCTGTACCCTGGTTTGAACATGGTTGTCAAGTTTCCGGTTGTTCAAACTTCCCCCTCAAGTTTCAAGATATTTCACAATCCCAGGGGCAGAATATGCAGCGAAGAAGCGCTTAATACTTTAGGGTGAGGCGGGTTGCGTAAAGCATGTGTTTAGGGGCGCTTGAGTCACCATAAACGCATACAATGAACAATGTACGTCGATGTGCAAGTCTTACGCACATTTCTATTGTACTATGCCTATACTATTTGCGCAAGTGCAAGCAATAAAGGCGCGTTTACACGGAGAGGGTTTTCTCTCCTAACTTTCCGCAACTGGTTAGGAGACACGTGTAAACTCTCAGGAGAGCGATCTTCTCTCCGGAGACATGACGTCACAGAGATTTTCGAAGTCTCCGCAAGAGAGTAGTGTAGAGACTCTGGAATCGCATGAGGAATCGTATCTCCTGGGAGATAAATAGTATCAAAGAAGTGGAAAGACTTTTTGCTCTCTTGGTTATTCGAAATTATTATAGTGTTCACGTGCTCGATTAGCCATTGCTGCGTCGTGTCTGTGTCTGTGCGGCATTCCAACGTGGTCGGTTGATTTCTGTTCTTTGTTGGGAAATTATAACTAAGGAATTATAAATACAAATGAACAAAGAAGCTGTATGTATTTCGATTTATGGCCAAAAACCGCCGTAACTGTTTCAACAAGTCTCTTTCCGAAATAAAATTATTTTTCCACTTTTCTTCTTTTTGATTGCGTGAGATGATTTCCTAACAAAAAATTCAAATTCTTCGAAGTTACGAAGTTTTTGCTACATGACTCCATTATCGTTTAGTAATATTATTTTTTGTTACATCCTTTTAATAAATTAATACTTCAAATTACGGATCAATTTGTTAAAAAATTATTTGTTATATAAAACCAAATTAGGTCTTCTCTTTTATATGCCTGCCCTAGGTGTAATTGCTCTTCCACCAAAATTAACCAAAATTCAAATAAATTCAAAAATATCTCACTTCGCAACATTTTACATCTTCCTAGTTATGTTTTCATAACACAAATTACAGAGAGACTAAAATTGATTCTTCAAATCTTTTATACCTAACTTCACTAAAGTTTCTAAAACAAATTACAACTTCACCCAGTTTTCAAAACCTTTTACATTATGTCAAAACTATTGTCGTCATCATTGACTCCGACACGTTTTCCAAATAATATTTTTAATCGTCCGTAAATTCGTTTCATTTTATTGTTCTCTGAAAAAAGTAATGCAATTGAAAGTAGCAAAAAATATGTTTTTTTAAAAAATCCTTCCTTCTTGCCAATTCCGCCATCAAAGTTTTATAAACTCAAGGTCTTCTTTTCTCAATTAAAACAAAAATCCTCACAATTTGTCTTCTTTTCTTTTCCTCGCCTTCTTTAAAAACTGTAAAGTTGCCACAGGCAGCTGAACAGTTGTCACATTCTAACCTTCAAACTGCTCGCGGGCTGCTTATTCAAGATGGCTGCCGCCCAGAGAACATCGAGAGACATTGTATCAAGTGGAAAACAGCAAGGAAAGATACTTTCCGCGGAGATATCTCAGGAACCAATTCTCCTGTGTGGTAGGAGCCTTGTCGGGAGATATTTCGAAACCGTGTAAAGCCGTCTGAGAGAGTTTATCTCCGTGACGTCATGAAGTTAGGAGACTTTGTCTCTTCGTGTAAACACATCTTAAGTTGTCTAAGTTTAATCGCAGTCTTATGAAGAGTACGGTAGAGCATAAAATACGAACATTTATTTTTATTTATTAGAGCAGTATAGGTAGAAATTATTAGGCAGTGAACTGATTGTAGCTTAGATTTGTATGATTCTTCTACATTACTTATATTAAAATAAAACAAAGTTATGATGGATGTTTATAATGTCAGCTGCTCCAAGGGATCTGCCTAGAATCCTTGAGTTTCGACGGGTTTAGACTGAACGAATTTTCATTGGTAGCGACTCTGAAACAATGTTTCCTTTTAGACTTGACACTCCGGAGGTGTCTGATGTGTCCTTGGAATTTGCATTATATTGAATTTGACTTTATTGGCTATGAATTTCTCTACGTCAGTTGAAGTGAATACATGATTAAAGTACAATACAAAGTAATTATAGTGATTTCCTTTTATCATGGAAAAACACGACTTTTTGAGGTTGAATGAATTGAAGAGTGGTAAATTGTAATGGCATTAATCAAGGGATGTTCCAGTGGGCTACTTGTGTCTTTGTTCCGTAATATTCGGAATTTCGCTATGAGATTCGAATTAAATCGCTCTATTGGCGAGATGAATTAAGGGGTGTATTGGCAGTATAATTTTTTATACGATTGGCAGAAGTAAAAAATTGGTTTATTTTGAAATTTTGTTACTTAGTCATGAGCAAATTTAGAAAGGAATCCATGGTGGGAGAAATATTATTTAGCTTCCATAAAACTAAATAACGTGTGCTGTCTCTTACTGGAATAAGTAGGCTTGGGAGTCTACATCCATGAGCAAATTGAAGTCAGAATTCTCTTTCCTTCAAAGTAGAATGTATCGACGTGTACTAGCGAAAAGGGTTGTTAAGATGCTATCGGTCCTTCATATTTTACCTTATTTAGGTGTCTGATACTTAACTGACTCAGGTCATAATTATGGCTAGTAACTTGGGTTTTCATATGAGGCCAATAATATTTTTCTTCGAGATGATTCCGTTGTGATTTTGACTGTGACACTTGGCCATTAATTATCGTTGTTTTTCTTTCTCCACATCCTCTACTAATTTTGTTGTGCGGAGGATTACTAACTCAGACGTGAAAAGATTTTCGTACCTTCTAATGAAGGGGATTTCGAAAGTGATATTAAAATAGACTACATATTTCTCTGTAAAATAATGTGACGGAGCAGATCTTGTAGTTCTTGCATCATGTTTTTTTTTTTTTAGTGATTCGTAATCTAGTAATATTGTATCTTGTAAAAATGGGGCGATTAGAAAAACCAGGTATTTTCCCGACAGTAGCTAATATTTAATTTTTATTCTGATTAAGTTTTCTCTCTGACATTCTTAATACAAAAATTGGATCCTCATGGTTATCATCATCATTTTCAATATCTGCTATATTTGACCTTAACTTTTTTTCTTGATTATTAATTTCAATTCGTGAACATGATATACAATGAATTTCGAGTGGTTGAATTTTTGTGCTGTCAACAGATTCGATTATTATTGGTTGCTCAATTATCACATCAGCAGGTTTTTTCGGTTGGATACCTAACTGTAAGGTTTACCGCAGGTAGAATTGCGTCAGGGATGTGATAATTATAGTAAAGACGGGACACACACATTAGCTTATTTCATGTTAACGGGTATTGGAGTCGAATTTGATGTCAAAATTATTTTGACGCGATTTGATGCAGATCCCGGATAGGCTCTCAGTAATGTTCTTCACTCTTCTCAGGCGCAGATGCGGATAATATAAAATGGATATGATTTTAATATTGAGAGCAATTAACGTCTCGTGGCCGTATGCTATCTTTAGAAAGCGATTCCACACTTATAACCTACTTGTTTATCATATTTTTGACGTCAATCATGACTGGAAAGAAATGTCTCGTAGAAATGTATAATGTCATTGTAATAAAAATTTCTATGACTGGGTCATTTCCCACGGTGTGAAAACTAGTCTTGAAACTCACAATGTCATCGAAATTAATCATTCCAAAATTGGCTTTCCAGTGTCTTCGGAATAAAATATCCCGTTGACCTGACAATGTCACCGAAATAAAGTATTCCGTTGACCTTGCCCTGTTTCAAAAAGACAACGCTCGTCCTCATATCGATTCTGCCATCAGTGTGCCTTACAACTAAATATTCTGCGAAGGCCAAACAGCAATGGCGAACTTCTTTCCGATGTAGAATTTTGCGAATACTTCGGAGCGCGCGATCAGGTCTAAATCCCTACCGACCAATTTTTTTAAGGACTGCGCGCTCAAGTACTAATTGCATGTGAAAGACTATCCTAGGACCCTTTCGTGACCAGAACAATCCCATGCCGCGACGTATAGGCGCGTGTGTTCGCCAATATGGTGACACGATGCCATACCATAGAGATATTACTCTAAGAAGGGTCCACTGGGAGAGGTTGGAAAACTCATGAAGACCATGCAGGGCTATGGCATTGCAAGAGATAGTGATGAAGACGTTTACCAATGAGCTAACTATAAACGAAAGCACTGACAAATTGAGTGCATAGATAAAACTTGCAGTTATATTGCCAGCAATGGCCAAGCAGTAGCTCTCGAAGCAGTCCCTTATAGTAATCTCTCTGTAACACGAATTTTCTATGTTCGTGTAGAGCATAGCTGGAACTACAAATGTGAATGTGTAAACATTTCGTAAATGTTCACAATTCAATTATTACAACAATGAACACTTCGAACAATGATCACAATTTACCTTCTCCTGGCTGCAGTGTTTTTTACTTTCTCGTCTTTTCATTCTAGGAGGAGAAAGTACGAATTTAAATTGTCCGCCGGAAAACGGCGAATTTTGGACACACACTCTTATTGCCGGGCTCTGGTAACGAAAAAGTTTATATATCGTGTTCATATGTAACGCATAATTTCCTCTAATACGTTATGTTATCAGATTCCATGTTTTGTAGGTCCTTGATACCTTGATATCTGTAAGCCCGCGTGTCCGTCCGTGTTTAACACTAGCGCCTAAACCGTTTAACAGATTTTTTTCCAAAATTGATATTCCCCAATAGATATGACTTTTGTCGCGGCCGCTTGAATTTGAAACAGATGTATTAATTTTGCGGAGTTTACGTTAAACCTTGGGACATTTTCAAATTAAAAAAAAAAATTGCTCCAAATTTTTTGATTAAATTTTGTTGCCGGATAGTGTGAAAGACGCTAAGAAAATGGTTCAGGTCTCATTTTCGTTAAAATCCCTAATTTTTCGAAAATTGCAAATATTGAAATTTTTTGGGGAACTTTCTAAAACTAAAATATTGACGGTAGAGATTTTTTCCGAAATGAAATGTGTTCTTTAAAGATATATTTTGCGGTAAGGCCATGCCCAATTTTTTGAAACTTTGATTAGTATTCGCGTAATGTTGCGTGAATTGCGGTAATTGTTTTTTCTAAACATTTTTTTTTCTAAAAAATTGTACCATTTTATTTCTTTAAATGTTCTCATCGTATGTATTTATGGAAAGATAGCCATAGGAGTCCTCATTTCTAGCCAACTCTGTACTGTCGAAAATTGCAAATTTTTAACATCTAAAAATTACATAATCGAAAATGGACATTGTTGCTTTAAACACAATCTGATCTAAAAAGTCATCTCTTTACAAAGGGGTGTGTGTGATTTTTTGAAACATAAACGAGTAGTTTTTGCTTAATATGAACTAGAAATTTATGTAGTGAAAAAAATAATTTTCTCAAAAACCGCTCAAAATTTGTTTATCGATATTTTACCACAAATACAAGCAGCAACTCTTAAAGGAGTGGCGCTGGCCTCATTTTCATTGAACACTTCGTATTTTCGAAAATTGCGAAAACTTAACATTTGGAAACTACAATATTGAAGATAGATTATGCATTTGCAATTGCAAATTTTTAACATTTAAAATTACCCAATCGAAAATAGATATGTTTGCTGCAAACAAAATGTGATTTAAAAAATCAGCTTATTAAAAAAAGTAATGTACAATTATTTGAAAAACTTGTAGTTTACGCGCAATTTCTGCTTGAAATTAATGAAATTAGAGATAAAGATGACCCCGCCAAATGTCCACGCGAAAAATTCTTCATTGTAATATCAATGCGACAGCAGTGGATAAAGAAGAAATGAAAAATAATTCAGGTTATTTTAATTATAATTTTCTATTGAAAATTCCAATATTAATTCGATTTTTTTTCAACTCTATCATTTGCAGTCTCTATGTATTTACGCATTTTGTTTCAACCAATCCACAAATCGTTAGTTGATATTTGCCCATTTAGGCTTTCTCTTGAAATATGAATATAAAAGAAATACGAATATTGAAGAAAGATTACAGTAATTTAGTATCGTTTAATATTAGAAGTGTAGGCCAGGTTCGAAATACATTTGAACTTAGTCACCATATAATTATAGATTGTTCGCCTGTTTTTAAAATATGAGAATAACAATTTTTAAAGAGGTGTAAAGAGAAGTGATTAATTAGAATGTGTTTATTTCGGGTCTAAAACAGTTTGACTAACAACATTTTGAGCCTTTATAGAATATTTGCTGTTCTTTTTTTCGCCTTGAAGTTTCCTTCATTTCACTCGACATTACGCCAAAAGTGCTGATAGTTTAAAAAACGTGTTAGATATTATTTTGTGTTATAATATTAAAGATAGTAGTTCCTGAAGATAAAAATATATCACTTCACTTAAGTAGTTAGTGATGGGTGGCAAAAAAAGTTGAACATTTGTCATTTTCGGAAATTCTCAAGGTTTCAATAAAAATCGAAAATTCACCATTTTTATGAGTGTAATTGCTATTTTCGTGCAAAATATTCTAAAGAAATATAGAGCTATTTTGAGAAAAGCTTGAGAATGTACTAGGGGCTTGATGTAAACTTGATTAATTGCTCTAAGTTAAAATATTTGTTTCAAAGATAAGAGGCCTGATTAGACAGAATACTTCAGCTAAATCTATAAGTATCAAATTTTTCGTGAAATCTTGTATTTAGAAAAGCTAAAACTTTTTTTTTGTTCCAGTATACATTTATTTTGGAACAAGAATAAAGAGAAACAGTTTTGTTGTGTTAGGCTACCTATTAGACCACTTTCATGTATGACACGGCATCGAAAAACGTTGAACCGGAGGTGTTCGTTGAAATATGCACATTAATGATTTCATACAGTGAAGGCTGTTGGGTTCTTATGGATGTGGTCTTTCTTGTGCCCTTGTTTTGTAGCACATGTTACAATTACTGGTTGTATTTCATTATATTTTAGCACAAGGGGAAAAGGGATTGTAGTTCTTTATAAGTTGTGCATCGCAGGTTAAACCTGTGTAAGTTGTTTGTTATCAATTTTTTGATTATCTTAGGAATTTTCTTGCAGCAACGATTGTTGCCTTCGGCAGAAATGTATATGTATTTTAGGATCCAGCTATTATTATTATTATTATTATTATTATTATTATTATTATTATTATTATTATTATTGTTGTTGTTTACGTTTAAGCGTGCGAAATAAATGTGTGCATGTGAGCTCACTAACATCATCGTCGCTTTCAGTTTCCATGTGGGCTTCTTTTTGTCAAGTGTTGTTCCCCTCGTTTAATTTCACAACGGGGATATGTCTGTGTGCGTAGGACGTGGCCGAGCGGCAGGACCTGCGCCACATTGACGTGTGCTCGGTGGACCCGCCGGGCTGCACGGACATCGACGACGCGCTGCACTGCCGCTTCCTGGACAACGGCCACGTGGAGGTGGGCGTGCACATCGCCGACGTGTCGCACTTCATCCGCCCGGGCACCGCCCTCGACAAGGAGGCGGCGCTGCGGGCCACCACCGTCTACCTGGTGGATAAGCGCATCGACATGGTGCCTGGTGAGTCAGTGTGTGTGTATGTGTGTGTGTGTGTGTGTGAGAGAGAGAGAGAGAGAGAGAGAGAGAGAGAGAGAGAGCGTGCGTGTGTGCGCACGTCCGTGTGTGTGAGTGTGTGGAGAATGATGGGATGTGCCGCGAAGAAACAAACAAGTGCAGACTAATGGTGCTACATGCCGGGCCTTGCAGCGTAATGGCTACGGCAGTAGTCGTGAGCTGCGGTTTCGAATCCCGCCTGGACGGGATTGGGTCTGGATGTTTGCTTTGCTGTTGTGACATTATGGAGCTTGACCCAAACCACCATGTAACAACTTCAATACCTCGTTCATTCCCAGACCTCTTCCTGCCTGAATTGTGAATGGAACTCCCTGCGTCTATTTCTCACCTATTTATTCTCATTTCAGACATTATATCAACAACACTTATGTTACTGTTTTGCTGCTCATACACGTTTTCGTCAATCGCTTTTAACAAGGACAAAGTTGGTACGAAATATTGGCAACCACAAAGCAAACCAAATCGAGCACGGAAAACTCAGACAACTGTCGAAATTCCGCGTAAAAACTATTCTTCAGCCGAAATCGGTGTTTCCATTATTTGTTTATTCCTGTGATTCGTATTTTTCATAAAATGTCGCTCTCTATCAATTTTTGGTTGTGAGAAATAACTGCGCAATTTTAAACGAGGGAATTCATTCAAATGATCTTACACACCTTTTAAGTTTTTAACCACGCGTACTTATATTTGAATAAATATACCTGCAATAATCCTTTTGAATTATTTTTGTGTTATGTTATTTTGTGGCACACAAAAAAGTTTAAGAAAAGTATCCTTTAAAAAACTCAACGACCCTCCTCCAAAGAAACCCCCTAATAAAATTGCCTCCTAAAACATGCACTGAAGGCAAAAAACACTAAATTTAGTGGGGAAACCACTAACCTGGCAACACGGGCAGTGAGTGACGTGGTGAGATTCGTTCAAGTTGTCCTGTGCGCCGGTTAATATGAATGAAATGTCACGAATGACGAAGTTGGCAACAATACGTTTCCTGCGTCGATTACATTAATGCACCACACGAATTGTGTTGTGCAATTACAAGGCAATAGCTATGCAGTGACGTTAAACAATCAAATAAAACAGGTAACACCGCGATAAATTAAAATTGAGGATCACCTGAAATTTACACTTCTTTCTATATCATATTGGTAATTTCGGTGTGACCTAAAAGATTTGTGTGAAAACTTCCTATTAACTTTTTTATTAGCTCATCTTTAACTTAACTTTTTTTATTACCTCATCTGAGATTGTTATGCATGAACCATACGGAGGTACTCCATCTAAGCTGTTTTAGACCACGAACCGCCACTGTGGTGAGTTCTTCGCTTATTGGAAAAGTAAACGGTGCAATAATGTAAGGAAATTTCATATGGAACGAGATATTCTTCACGCGAGAATAACATTCTTGCGTAAACTGAACGATATTTTTCTTGCTAATCATACTCGCCTATTTTTTTCTCTTCGACGAATATTGGGTTTTGCGTATTCATTCTCTAAAATATGTGCATTTGGAAGCATACATCGCAAACTGAATTGAACGTTATTCTCGGAAATTGAATTATGTTCTAAGCTGGGTTTGCGGAAACCGGGCTTCTGAATGATAGGAAACTTATCAAGTCCAAGAAAGCAGGTGGTAAAGATTAACATTCAGAACTTCACGGCAATTTTCAAAAATTGATACTCATTCTATTTATATTCTTATTAGAAAAATGATCCGCTGTCATCCGGTCTTATAATTCGGGACAGTTTTCAAGAGGATCACTAAATGTTGTAATTGTGTTGCTTCTCAGTAGGGAATTACCCCGCGGGCCTGCGTTAAAGAGATGTATGTCGCAAAACAGATGCAAATGTCGTATTTGGGAAATCAGGCGCTTCAAGTTCAACCCGCAACACTTCGCTGCAAAGCTCTTCATCTTCGTACGTAACTCTGTAACGAACATTCCAAGGCCCTAAAAAGGCTCATGAGGAATTATTATTGTATATTATTATTATTATTATTATTATTATTATTATTATTATTATTATTATTTCTTTCCCGTAAAATACGTTGCCTATGAAAGGAAAGTTATGTAGTCATGCGAAAAATCGATTTTCCGCACATTTTGGGGAAATACACGTTTTGGGGTCCCCTGACACAGTAAAAGTGTTTTTTAACGTCCGTCCGCCTGTGAACACTCCTAGGGTTAAACCATACGTGCAAAGTTTTCCATATTGAAGAAACTCCTGTTCATCCGAGTCGAGTCGAAGCTTTGAGATTCTGAAAAACATTCTTGAACATTTAAGAGTTCTTTACATGTCTACGCAACCATATCTTTACATGCAGCCCCTGGGGCATTTTCATTTTTTTTTTTTCAAAAAGGCTCATAATTATTTTATTTAAATTTATTGTAAGAATAGATGACACCTTATAAAAGCATATAAAGGTGCCATAGGTCCAGTTTTCACCTTTAACTGAATTAACGAAAATTGCAAAAGTTTGAATATTTTTCGGTCTCTTCCTACAACTACAAAATTGAGATAGAGATTTTTCCTTCATGTAAAATTTGATCTCCATAGTGAATTGTTTCATTAAGATCACGTCCACTTTTTTGAAAATTTTTGTAGTTTTTGCGCAATATTGTCAGCTATATGTGCAATTTTACGAAATTACAATTACAAGATTTTTTCAAAATCTGCTCAAAATTTTTTCGTGAAACGTTTGGTGGGGATAGTGCTAAATGTACTCTCTCTGACACATTTAGTATGCACATTTCCAGCGATTTGTAAACACTATTGCATTTGTGACTGAAAGTGCTTGAAATGACTTCATATGAAGTTTTTCTAAAGCTCAATAATTTTCTGTGAAAAGAGTTTCAAATTTTGAATGCACAATAGCTCTTATCGTTATTTTCTTAAAAACGGCTCAAAATTTTTCAAAGAAATTATTCGTTTAGGACGAGTATTTTACTGTTCTTTAATATTCTTAAAATAATAATCCGTTCCACTATTAGAGAACCAAAAAATAAGAAAGTTTTAAAAATGTACTTTGGGCGGTGATAGAGAGCAGGTGGCAAGAGAATGTGGCAAGTCCGAATAGCTAGTAAAGACCAAAGGAAGAAGAAAACTAATACGAGAAAGCCTGTGCCATTGTGTTGCACCACTAGTTGGTATTATCATCATTCTTATACGTATTGTAATTTAGTAACTTTCGTCCGTCCTTCCGGATAACCAATCGAGAAAAATAAGGCGATAATATATCTCGGTCTCATGACGGAGAACATTTGTATGTTCTACCCAAAAGTACCCATCTTGCCAGAAGATTCTTAGACATTTCTATAAAAATGTTTTTTATGCGTTTCGGGTGATTTACGGCACTAACAGGTGACCATTCGATTCCTCTCGATAAGAAAAAACCGATTGGCATAATTCTTACCGAGTATTCTGGAAGGGTTCTTGACAAATCACTTGCTTTTTGTGATTTCAATACACATATGAGAACATTGGTGAAGCGATGTAATTTAATACATCGTTTCATGCATTTACGTGAGTTGTGGGGATTGGCGGGTCTGGGCTCAGGATGTGACGTCACAGATAAGGCTTATCGCTGACGTAACATCCTGAGCCCAGACCCCCAATGGGTGTATCTGTGATGTCACGTCCGGGGGCCATCTTATCGATGACGTGCTGATTCCGGTGGGGGTGCCGAGCGCGCGCCCTGACGACTCTGACTCGCTCCTCGACTGCGGCGTCGTCCTCCTCCGAGTAGTGTTGTCTGCAAGGCTGGTGGAGAGATTCAAAAGCGGCAGCTCCGCTTCGGCGGCGGCGGTCCGTCGATGAGCGTGCCTCCGCAATTCCAATGATCCTTACAAGATCGAAGTTCTTGAACACACGGTAGGTTTTGAATGTCTTCAGGTAGTTTCTCGAAAACGCGCTCAACCTCGATTAGCGCCGGCAAAATTCGACTGGCAATTGACTCAATGTCTCCGAGTCGAGAAGTGTAAGAGTGTAATCGGCTTCACGCAACTTTCTGAAAGCGCGTTCGATATTTTCGCGCGTCTCTCGTCTGATCTCTTGTCTGGTGTGCTCCAATACGTCGGCAACGGAGCGGATGCGTACGACGGAACACTGCATCGTAATGACCAGCGAAGGGTTGGAGAGCGTGATTATAACGTGCGCAGGGAGTGGATATTGTATCTTATCGTATTTCCCTTTCTGCCTCCTCCACGACATGATGTAATAAGTCGGGTCGATGGACTTATTACATCCATTCGTACAGGGCGATGACGTGCTGGCGTGCTACACTGACGTCACCGCAAGCCTAGAGTTCGCGGTACTTGCGTAAGCACTCGTTCAGCGGAGGACACCCGAACGACCCGAGATCGAAAATGCGTTTTCCTTTGATATACTCCAGCCCCTATTTCTTCTGACCTCTCTTGACGTATATCGTTGAGACACCTTCGAAAGCTTTCATCATCACATACGTCCTGTTTCGATCATCGTTACGCCCGCTACTCCACGGCGGTGTGGCGTGATTACAGCTTTTCATCCACCACACTTGTCTCTTGTCTCTGTTCAAAGTATGTAAAGGTCGCGGCGGCCGAAAGGTGAATTTCTGAACGAACCGCTCAGAATCGCCTTTGTTGCGGATGACGGTCAGCACTTTGATAATGAATTGTCCGTCTATCCAAAAACCTTGAAGATCAGCGACAGCTGTGAGCTCACGGTGACCGTTGTGCGTTATATGTTTATTCGGTCTTCTTTTTTTATTCTTGTAACGGTTTCGTTCTCGCGCCACGGCGTGGTCGGTGGTGTTGCCGCTCGACATTCTTCTTTGTGATGATCTGTT